CCCTCTCCCCGCTTTTGCCATTCCCGGAGAAGCGGCTGGGTGGTCAAAGCGGAATTAGATTGTGCAGCATTGTGAAGTCACTGGGGGGAGAGAGGGCGGGGGAGAAGTTGTTCGCGTGCTCTACCTGGGGGAAGCGGCCCGAGCTCGGGGCTGATTCCTGGCTACCTTCCTGCAGGAATGTAGGATTGATACAGGGGCCGGGGGATCAAGCTCTGTGCACGGGGACTCGCTTCCCCCAAGGAGCTTCTCACTGGGGTAAGAATAGGACGGACCCGGGAGGGTTTGTGTGTATAAGCGGCGGGGCTGGACGCGTTGTGTACGAAGCCAGCAGCTGGTGGACCACAGTGTGATTGGGTGGGGTCGGTGGACCAGACCCAAAGTATTGTCACCCTGAGTAGCTAAAGGACTATTGCAGTTTGAAGTTAAGAGGGCAACTGCCTTATTTTTGGAGAAAAGCGGAGAAGGCAAAGTATAACTTTGTATTTTCCTGGTAAGACCAATGAAGGGTAATGAGAGATTTTTCTTTGTTCATATGTTATCTACTTTTGATACTAGAAGAATATTGTTTGGGGAGGCAGATGGTACTATATTTAACTTTTTTTCCCTGTATATCAGCACTTGTTATGACTTGCCTGTAGTATTTAAAGAGAGTGGGGAAAGAAACCACTCTGCTTGGAACATTTTAGCTCATACTTTTATCTTTAGCAAGGGGAAGACCAATCAAACATATTGTGGCTTCATAGTTAACATGCATCAGATTTAAAAGAACTGGCAGCACCTTTTTAAAAGATTAGAACTATTATATCGTGCCTTCAAAAAGTTGTTATATTGTTACTGTACTATATAATCTCTGGAATAAATAGTAGAACATTTCTTGAGTACTTCCAGCTGCACATATGTTGTTTTTTAGAATATTTTCCAGCAGTCTGTTACATTTTATTGTATTTTGCATTGTTTTTAGCTCTGTTGGAACTGGATGAAGAAAAAGAATGGATATGGGTAACCAACATCCTTCTATTAAAAGGCTGCAAGAAATACAGAAAGAAGTCAAAGAGTTTGAATCACAAGTAGTAGCCTTCAGTGGTCTGTCCAGTGATAGAGCTTACAAGAAATTAGAAAGAGCTTTGACTAAACAGCTTTTTGAAATAGATTCTGTGGATGCTGAAGGAAGAGGTGATGTTCAGCAAGCCAGAAAGAGGGCTGCCCAAGAAACGGAGAAGCTGCTTAAGGAACTGGAGCAGAATGCAAACCATCCCCAAAGGCTGGAGATAGAATCCATATTTAATGAGGCACAAGCATTGGTGGAGCAAGAAATCACACCTTTTTATAAAGGAGGCAACTGTGTAACTGAGGAATTTGAAGAAGGTATACAGGATGTAATTTTTAGGCTCACTCAGGTAAAAACTGGAGGGAAAATTTCTCTGCGAAAAGCCAGATATCGCACCCTGACCAAAATATGTGCTGTTCAAGAAATTATAGACAGTTGTACAAAGCAGCAGCCTTCCCTGCCATTGTCCAGTGATGCACATCCTTCTGTTTCCAAAATTAATTCTGTCATAGGAGATGTGAACAAAGCAAAAGGGACTCTTATTGCTGTATTAATGGGAGTAAACAACAATGAGACCTGTAGACATTTATCCTGTGTACTCACAGGCCTGATTGCTGATCTGGATGCCTTGGATGTGTGTGGCCACCCAGAAATAAGAAACTATCGTAAAGAAGTAGTGGAAGAGATCAATAGATTGCAAAAATATCTGGATCTGGAAGAAGAAGCAGATTCCACTTATGCTTATGAGTTGGCACAAAACAGATGCATTATAAAAATAGAAGAAATACGCAAGAACATGAAAGAAGTTAAAACTTCCCTTTTAAAAATAGAGAAAGCTTCAGATTTGTATCTAAGGTCAAAAACAGAGCTGCAAGGGTTAATCGCCCAGTTGGATGAAATAAGCCCAGGCAAAAATCCCTGCATCCGAGAAGCTAGGAGGCGAGCAGTGATAGAAGTGCAAACCCTCATAACTTATATTGACTTAAAGGAGGCACTCGTCAAACAAGAAACCTTTGTAGAACAAACAGAAACAGAAGTCCCATCACAAAAAGCGGTTTGGAATATTCTAGGAAATGTGGCTCAGATTCAGCAAGAGGTGTTGTCTTTTGATGGGAACAGAACTGATAAGAACTACATGAGACTAGAGGAGCTCCTCACCAAACAGCTTCTAGCACTTGATGCTATAGACCCTCAAGGAGATGAGCGCTCAAAAATAGCTAGGAAACAGGCAGTGAAGCTTGCACAGAACATTCTTTACTATTTGGACATGAAAACAGATGAATGGGAGTACTAAAATAATATTGGTCTTGTGTGCTAGATGTTGGTTTCTCTCTCTTGCACTTTATACAGTCAGTCTCCCATAACTACAAGGCCAACAGTTCCATCATTTGCTCATCTCTTTGTGGTTGAGTAAAAGTTGGATTGGGTTAAGCAGCAACTTCTTCCTGCTGGTGCAGTCAGGCAGGGAAGGCAGTCCATGTGCCAATTACGTTACAATTTTTGTCACAGCCTGTTTTCTGTCGCTTGCATGATTTGTGAAGAAGACTCGCAGAACTGCATCTCCAGCTGTTGCCTAAAGCTTTCTATATAGAATTCTTCTACATCAAGACAAAATACAGTCTTGTAAAATCAGTCAAAGCAAAACTAAAGAGAAAGTCCAGAGCAAATGTCAGTCACCCTTAAACCAGTTTAGATGTTGCAGTTGTCTGGTTTAATCCAGTTGCAATCCAAAGGATTAAATGCAAATTACTCATGGCTAATTTGTGTGTTTCTTGATGATTTGAGATTTTTTTAATAGTTTGGCATAATATGAGAAACAAGTACCTCTAGAATATAGATATAAGTTGCAGTCACATACTTTCTACTGATTTCCATAGGATTATTTCAGAATTGATTAACAGCAGCTACAGTCAATCAATTTGTACATTCTGGAGTTCTCATTATGTAAACCAGAATATAGGAATGGTAGGACTTTAAAGATAGAATGCACAGCATAGTTTGAACAATATATATTTCCTGAATTATGCTGAACTTTTCAATAATCAACAGTGACCCTGAATTTGGGATCTGAATAGCTGTGGAGATATTTTCCTTTAATTTTGTGATGATTTGGTAGATATTGGGCAGCTTGTCAAATATTCCTTTGCATTTTTCTAGATTGATCCAGTATTTCTTTTTGCATACTAAGCTTGGCACAGAAATGTTACTTTTTCTAAGATTTCATGTGTTGCTATTATACCCTTGATTGTCTAGCCTTTTGTTGTTTTAAATTATTTTACTGATTTTTAAAATGCTGTTCATGATCTATGGAGGCAGCAGATATTTCTTCTGTCTTACGTTTTTCATCTTTCAATCCATCAGAATGACAAACATTTCAGAAAACAGAATTTAAAAAATAAAAATATTGCTATCTGTTACTTTAACTGTCTTGAATAGGTTACATGTACCATTCCTCAGTATGAAAGGAAAAGTTGCTTGTGGTTTTTTTATCCTTTTGTCCTCCACTACCTTTTTATCTTCACCGAAGCCTCATAGTTTATTAACTGTGTCTGATCATATTTCTGAATACACCAAACTTGGTCAGTTTAGGTATAATTGTTCCCTGTTGCTTATAAATTCAGAATAATAGAAATCAACAGCAATCATATTTTTTAGAATGCATTGTTAGTACCCTGAAGAAGTCTGCAGTCAATCGAAGTAATAAGTAGAATAAATGATGTTTCTAATCCAGCCTCTATAATCAAAATTACTGGCTTGTAGAAGATTATTTCTACAGTACATGATTAATGCATGCTAAGATATTGCATTGATGTCTGTGAATAAGATTTTAGTATAGAATTAAAAGGCATAAGGCTTATTCTTAGTAAACAAGTGCCTTTTAAATGACCTTTGAATTTGTAGCACCTTGTAGCTATGACTGCTGCAAGTTGGCTTCATGGTGTTTTTCAGTTAAGTGTTTTCCGTATTGTGGATTACTTATCCACTACAGCTTTTAAAAAGCTACCATATTTGTCAGGCTGTGCTGTCATATTAGCAAGCAACTGAAAGCTAGATGACCACCAACTCCATTTGCTTAGTTTTGTCCTTGGCCTAATCCCATTGGCTCAATTGCTCTGATCTCTTGTGCGTCTCAATTCTGTAAGCTGGAAGAAAGGAGTAGTGGCTCAGTTTACTTTAAAATTAATTTTGATCTTGCTGCACAAAAGGTTTTTTTTAAAAAGCTTAATGTATTTTTTGTTGTTGTTACAATATATTAGTGAATCTTTGTCAGTGACCAGGGTTTTAGGTCTAGGCTTAATAGAGCCCAAAGCTGAATAATAAGCTTTTTGCTTATAAGCTTCATCATCAGTGTCTTTATTTTGTCCTTTTTCCTGTTGATTAAAAAAATTATTTTACATGCTTGTACTGTTCTAGTTTGTGTCCTTAGTAAATTGGCTGGCATATCTCATTAAAATATTTTCACTTTCAGTAGGAGTTTTCATTCTGGCTACATGGGTTTTGGTCCCAACTCTGCACACATATAGAGCTCCCATATGATTTGGATTCCCCATTAATATAATTTTCAAAACAGTAATACAAGTTTTTTCTTCTAGTCCCCTTTTCCCATATAGGACTTCAGCTTCCATGTGGAAGCCATTGCTTATTTGAATACTCTGAAATGAGATGGTAGTATTCTTCAGAGAACAAATAAATAATTGGTTGCATATCTACTTGTCCCTCAGCTCATAGAAAACTCTTCGCCAGAAGACATCATTATGAATGAAAGGAGAAAGATGATTACAGCTGAGTCTTCTCTTTAACTCCCTGGGTTCCATAAAATCAGCTTCAGTTGTTGGGCAGCAGCATTAAATGTGGTATTGGTAACTGTAGAAGAAAGGGCAAGCTTATATTTGGATTTAGTTTTTATGCTGTTAATGCTTCAGAAACAGATTCCTAATGTGAGATCCTGGTTAATGCTTCATGTATCTTGCCTGAATTCTGTTCTCAATAAATTCCAGCTAGTGGAAGAGGAGAGAGTCCTTCCTTCTCATGTAGTTCTGAAGATTTTTAGCAGTGGTTTGGGGAACTTTAAAATCACACATGGTTTAGGGTGGTTTAAAAATAATGGGGAATTGCTAAAAACTTTATCCTGCTTCTTCCAACTGTATCAGAACATGTTTCCCTTCTGCAACTGAAGACCATTCTGTTTGCACTACATGCATCCAAACTGATTTTTTTGTTTGTTGTTTGTTTTAACTTTTAACATTAAAACTTTCTATTAACTTTTTTGTTCATATTTTACACATAACTGGAGTGCTGTTATTCTAAAGTTCAACGTGTAGGCTTCTATTACTCAGGGACATTTTAAAGTTCTCATAAATCTTGTTAAAGTTGCAGGTTTTAAAGGGAATGTGTAATAAAATTAGATACTGTAATAGAAGCATAATTTCCCATTTTTCTATTTAAAAAAGAATCTATAGCTCCCAAATTTAAATGTGCTTTGCTAATCTATATTATTTAGTATAATTATAAATCTGATTTTTGCATGAATAAATATTATAAAGTAAATAAGATAAACCAAAAATGAACTTTGTGAATTAGTTTTGCACTTTTAAGAATTCTTTTTCTACTTAATATGCAAGCAGGTTAGAGCACATACTTTCCACTGCAGTGATTTAACAGACTATTCTGCATTTCTATATTGGACTAAATCAGAGGGTTTTTTTAACATAAAGGCTTTTGTGCAATGCCATAACATTTAGGGCAAGAAACCAGTGTAATTCTGCTGAATTACATCATGATTTTGATTGTATTGCTTTGGATTTTCAGTTGATCTAAATAGCCTTGTTCTACTAGCTTCCTGATAACCTTTGCCAGCAACCATGATACAATTTCCTTTTGAGTAGGTTGAAATTGACTACTCTGATATAATTGGCAAACCATTGTAATCAGCTTTTACAATTAAGCTTTCTCTGGGTGCTAGACCTTTAAGTGGTACATATTTTGTTGTATGTTAAACTTGAAAACTATGAGAACAAGCCACCACATGGATGGAGCTTGCTTTTTTGGAAGATGTGTACTAGCTGATGTTTATGTATTGCATTGTTCAGTGTTAACAGATTCAGAAATCAAATCTTAATAAAATATTTGGATGTTGCTTTCTTGACAGTTCATTTCAGGACAGGAATTTCTTGTGTTATATGAAACGTGTGTGTGTGTGTATATATAATACTTTATATCAAGAATGCTTTCTATACTTTGACATAATAGTCTACAGCCATTACTGATATATGGATGCCATTAGGATTTTAAATTGGGATTTTCTTCTTTTTGATAAAAATATAATTTATCAAAACTTGGGCTTTTCTTTTTTGTTAGGAAATATAATTGCAGAAATAATATGTAACAAAATAATATAATGGAATGCAGTAGTTCAGTACAAACATTTTAAGAAGTTTATTATACAGTAATTATGAACGCGTAAGTGCTTTTTAGTCTGGCAAACAACTCTCGTTCATACTATATAAATTTAAAAAGCTATACAGGAAGTTATAAAGTGTTAAGCAGCTTACTCAAAAGCAAGTCATACTGGAAGTTTAATGAGGAGTCAGATAGCGCCTTTTTTGACTAACAAATTTTATTAACAAGGTACAAGCTTATGCTTTTTAATACAATTTGTTAGAAAACATGCTCTCAGAGTCCTGATTTTTTGCTACCATTGACTTAACCGTCTCCCTTCCTACAATGGAGGAATCATGAATGGGGAGTGAGGAAAATAGTTTGGCCAACTGTCTGTTAGATCCTGCCCCTTCCTGGGTTGTTAAGCGGGCCCGGGAGGTGACCAAGGGATGGGTCCATGTGGTGGCATCCTCTTTGAGGGAGGGGAGTGACATGCCCCCTTCTCAAGAGGTCATTGCTGGACCCTTCCATTCTGGACAACTATCATCCAATTTCCAATCTTCCGTTTTTGGGGAACATTGTAGAGAAGGAGATCAAACAGCAGTTACAAAGAATCTTGGAGGAAATGTTATCTGGGCCTGTGTTAGTCAAGACAAGCACAACAATGAACACTAGTTTTATCTTTATTGTAAGGTTATATTAATTGAATCTTGCAAATCTGAAAGTATTTCTCCCCCTCTCCTTTTACTCTCTGGAAAATTAAGGAGGGTCCCTTCTGAAATGCTTCCCAGGCCCCCTCTCCTTCTTTGCACTGAGATATCTTTTATATGCCAGTTGTCCAGTCTGTGGCTCTTCCTCCTGTCCCCCAAGGTCATTCCCACATAACATTACAACCCATTTCAGACTGCGGTACAGTATGGAGACAGCATTGGTTGTGCTTGTCAATGGCCTCTGGCAGAGCCAGGAGGGGGTGGTGTAGGGGTTGGGAGTGGGGGGGAACTGTGCTGCACCTCCTTCCTCATTGTCAGTCATGGTGTTTATGGGAGGGAAGAAATTGCACCCATGACTCCTCAGTTGTAGGATGCCTCAGGGCTCGATATTGTCACCTCTCCTGTTTAACATCCATATGAAAACACTGGGTGAGGTCATCCAACATTTGAGATTCAGTATCATCAGTACACTGATGATAGCCAGCTTTACATCTCAACCCTGGGTTGCACAAGTGGCATTATCAATGTACTGACACAGTGTCTGGAGGCTGTTTGGATCTAGATGGGGAGGAATAGACTGGCTGAATCCTGATAAGAATGAGTGGCTCTGGACTTCCAGTGAGAACATGGCAAGGCAGACATTCCTGAAGGAGCAGGGGCAACATTATGGCAGAGATTGGTGGCCAGAGGGTGGATCTGGACTGGTGAAATCTCCAGAGTAAGTTGAGAATATGAGATCACTCACATGTACTCTAGACAGCTGCTCCTCACAAGTAGATTGCCGGAACCGAGGAGTTGAGAGATTCCATTTAAGCTCACAGTCGTAATGTAGCCTTTATGGACAAAAAGCCTGGTCGAGCCTTGTTTCTTAATCACTTTTGGAATTACTTTTTTGCTGCTTTTCAAATATTCAGAACTTTTGGAACAGCAAGTTTTATGGCATTCACTGAGTGAGTTTCCTTCAAATTTTAGTGAAAGAAGTTTTAAGTACGAGTTTAAGGACTTAGAAAAATTCTCTTTTGGGGGAATAAACGGCAAAAGGGTGATTAGAGTGTTGTTTTTAGAAAGTTATAAACGGACTGAGGGTCCAGATGGATTTGAAATAAGATTTTGAAATTAATTATAAGAATCCTTCCC